TTTTGGGTTTCCTACACCGTTTCATTGTTCTCGACTCTTTTGAAGCTCAATGCATCAATAACCGTTTCATATGTTGCTTCATTTTTAGGGTGCGGTTGAAAATCTGTTGGAAAGAAGCTCCTATGTGCAACTGCAAGACGGTTCTGTTGTAGAATTGGATAATTCTTCCAGAAATCATATATTGCAAAGCCTTCATGAAATGTCCTCGAAAGCTTTACGTGTCCTTGGTTTTGCATACAAGGAGGATCTACAGGAACTTGCAACCTATAATGGTGATGAAGACCATCCAGCCCATCAGCTTTTACTCAATCCTGCTAATTACCCTTCCATTGAGAGTAAACTCATATTTGTTGGCTTGGCTGGGATAAGGGTAAGTTAGTTAACTTGCTTTCTCTCGACTGTTGGTTTCATTTATGTGCTAAAACCTTCCTCTGTTGGGGGCATCAAGATACTGAACAAATACTTATCGTGTTGTCAAAGGATCCTCCTAGAAAAGAGGTACGTCGTGCAATTGAGGATTGCAGAGAAGCTGGCATTCGAGTTATGGTTATTACAGGAGATAACAAGAATACAGCAGAAGCTATCTGCCGTGAGATAGGTGTCTTTGGAAGCCATGAAGATATCAAGTCGAGGAGCTTAACTGGAAAAGAATTTATGGAGCTTGCGAACCCCAAAGCACATATAAGGCAAAGTGGAGGTCTCTTATTCTCCAGAGCTGAGCCAAGGCATAAACAAGATATAGTGAGATTGCTTAAAGATGATGGTGAGGTGGTTGCAATGACTGGGGATGGAGTGAATGATGCACCTGCTTTAAAATTGGCTGATATTGGGATTGCAATGGGAATCGCTGGAACTGAGGTAAAAGATGATGTTCCTAGTACTAGAATTTGTGAGCAATATCAATGGGAACATGTATCGAGGAGAATCTATCCCCTGCAGTGTTTAACAGCAAACAGTAATAATATATTTAACAGTGATAGACAAAGTATAATTTCTCTCTCCCCAGCAAACAGTAATAATATATTTAACAGTGATAGACAAAGTATAATTTCTCTCTCCCCATCAAGTCTACACTCTTTTGCTATCACCTGAACTCTTGTCCTGGATGGCTGTATAATGATATGTTTCCCAGTGTGAGTCTAACTTATCACTGTATATGCACATGTTACTTTGGGCTACTTCTGATGTGCTTACAAATAGAAACTTATCTTCAGTCTGCTGCCATAGGATCTTTTATTATATCAAATTCTTGTAAAAGTTTAAAATGTCATTTTCAATACACAATTCCTGAAGATTTGGATGGGTTTTGGGATAAATGGATCCAATGGATATACATGTATATATTTATGTCATGTAACTTATGGTTGATTTTTCTCCCAGGTGGCAAAGGAAGCATCTGACATGGTTTTGGCAGATGATAATTTTAGTACAATTGTAGCTGCTGTGGGTGAAGGCAGGTCCATTTATAACAATATGAAGGCTTTCATCAGGTTTTTTTTCTCCCTCATCTCCTTTAGTTGGCATTATTTCTATTGATGGTACTGTTGATTGGATGCTATTGTATTTCTATCATTTTGGCTTGGTACTTGGTATTTGGTTTTTCAATATACATTCAAAGTTTTTTGCATTGCATTTTAGCTAGCTTAAATATTCAAAGAGTGAGTTGAACTTTGCTGGACTAGGTTGATAATCCCTTTTAACCATGTGCTATTTCCAGCTTATATATACCATGCTGGAGTAGCTTATTATACATGTGGTATTTCCAGCTTTCTGCAAACCACCAGAATCAATTCAACCAACTTCAGTATGTGTGTTAATCTATTGGAAATCTTTTCATCTAGTATGATACGATGTCATATAGTCAATGAAAAGCTTTTCACTGAGTAAGATTCCTAGTTGTTCAGTTGCATGCGACCCGATCCTTGAGTTAACTGACTTGGATAAGTTGGCTATCACCCTTTTGGACTACACTCTAGTGGCAGCTGTTCCATGTTTTATCTTTGTATTTATTTATTTAAAAAGGGAGTATCTAGTTCTCTTGATTGAACTTTTCGGATGAATATCTTTAGTCCGTGTAATGCATGATGCCACCACTGATAGTGCATCACTATAGAAGTGCATTCGATGATAATTTATGTTGCTGTAGGTACATGATTTCCTCCAACATTGGTGAGGTCGCCTCTATTTTCCTTACTGCTGCCCTAGGCATTCCTGAAGGTCTTATTCCAGTTCAGCTTCTGTGGGTCAACCTGGTCACTGATGGACCACCTGCTACAGCATTGGGATTTAATCCACCGGATAAAGATATAATGAAGAAACAACCAAGGAGAAGTGATGATTCATTGATCAGTGCATGGATTTTATTTCGCTATCTGGTTTGCACTCTAATTATTTATTTAATTTTCCACTTCCTACTTCTGTTTGTGAGAATGAAATCTAGCTCATCAATTTCTAAATGCTTGATGCCAGGTAATTGGGTTGTATGTTGGTGTAGCAACTGTGGGTATTTTTATCATCTGGTTCACTCATGACTCCTTCCTTGGCATTGATTTAAGTAAAGATGGGCACAGTCTTGTCACCTATTCCCAGCTTGCTAATTGGGGTCAGTGCAAAACCTGGAACAATTTCACCGCGTCACCTTTCACTGCCGGATCAGAAGTGATCAGGTTTGATAACCCGTGCGATTACTTTGTGGAAGGCAAGGTCAAAGCCATGACCCTTTCCCTCTCTGTATTGGTTGCAATTGAGATGTTCAACTCCCTTAATGCCCTTTCGGAAGATGGAAGCCTCTTGTCAATGCCACCATGGGTCAACCCATGGCTTCTTTTAGCCATGTCGGTCTCATTTGGGCTGCACTTTTTGATCCTCTACGTGCCTTTCCTTGCTCAAATATTTGGTATCGTTCCACTGAGCCTAAACGAGTGGCTGTTAGTATTGGCTGTTGCATTACCCGTCATATTGATCGATGAGATTTTGAAGTTTATTGGAAGGTGCACAAGTGGTACCAGAAGTGGAAGGAGTCCTACAAAGCAGAAGGAAGAGTAGAGGCAAAACATTGTCATAAATGTGTTGAACTTATCATTATTGACAGAGCTTATGTTATTCATACCCGCAAGTGGGGTTTGATTAGCCTATTCTCTTTAACCCAACCCAGTCGCTGTTAATTGATGAGGGTTGGTGGCGGATTTAATTAGATTCATTTAGACATTTTCTGAAACTCCTCAGATGATAGAATTAGTTTTGATATTTAAGTTTTTTTTACCTTTCCCTTGTCTGACAGGACGATAGCTTTTATACTGATCCTCTCAATTTTATCTTTGGCATTCTGTTACAGTTCACATAGTCTATAGAGCACTCGGTAGTTTTTTGCTAGATTATATACAACACTTTTTCTTTATACTTCTGGAAAATAAGTAACTTGTTTTTTGAGAAAATGGTTTTCAGAAAATATACTTTCTACGGAAATTATTCTCCTTCATATCAAATACACCCAAGAGTTGCTGAATGAAACAAATAGCAAGTTGTAATATAAACACAAAAAGTGTATACTTTTCATGACCCGTAAAAATTGATATGATTAATCTTGCATGATACAAGAATTGAAATATTCTAAAGTCATAAGGGCAGGAGGGGGTTCACCTGAACCTTATTGACAATAAATTATTATAATGTAATCTGTATATATAAAGTAAATTTTGTATATTTCTGTAATATGAACCTCTGGATAAGAAATAAAGTATATCGCAATGGTATAGTGCCTTACAAAAAGGACCCCTGTGTTTGGGTTTGTGAGGATTACGTTTTACATTTAGTTTACGATTTTTTTTCATTTAATTTCGGAAACAACCACTAGTCCGGTCCACGATCCCAAAAATGTCAAATACTCTCGATCCAAAAAACCAAATCGCTTCTAGTTTCATTTTCGCAAATTTCAAAACCATTTCTTCTACGTTTTCTCGTCAAGATTCGTGCGTTAAATATTAAAATGATCTCCCATAATTTTATAAATGTTGATTTGATTCATAGATCCAATCTGAAATTAAAAAAATTAAAACCATGCTTCTTAATTGAGAAAGATTAACAATGATCTCTTATTTTTTTTAATTACTTTTTTCTTTTTTGGAGTTTGTACTTAACATTCTAGTTTTAGAGTGATACATTATGAAGGGCTAATTTTTTTTCTCAACTTAGCATTCTACACCTATAGACTATATACTACTACCTCCCTTGGAATTGTATTTGGCTTAGTTGCACATTTATATACTTTATAAAAATCTTTTTAAGTAAAAATTCTAAATTCGTCATGGTAAATTACACAACAATTTCAATTGATTATGGGGTGTTTTAAGCATTTTTCACATATTCTTTGAAATAAATAAATAGTAGTTTTATAAGAATAATAATCTAAATGGTAATACACAAAGCCATGTGGATTTATGTATAGTTCACGTGGCTAACTACAAGAAATGGACTTGAATAATTATCAAATTTATATTATAACACCCGCGTGTAACATTAAATAATAAACCAAGTCTGGATAACATAACTAAACACAAAACAAAAGTAAATTAAAAATTACGCCACCCATGTACGACTAACTTGTATATAATAAGGTAATAATTTAACGACTTTGATGGAAGAAACAAAAATAAACATGCTATCCTTATTTGGCTAAACAGTTTTAAATATATACTTCCCTTTTTTATATTTTCCCTCCCCAAAAAAGTAAGACATACTATTCTTATCTACCGTTAGATAAATCCTATTATGCTCATGCTGCCATCGGTTCTTTCTACGATCGTGTTTTTCCAGACAAATCAATTCATATCGTCAATTGTTCATATGGTCTACATTTTCTCTCAGGAGTTCCAAATAATGTCGAAAACAGAAAATCACTTGCTTGGAACAAAGGGAAAGTTTATTATTCACATAGTAAAAAAGAGGTCATTAGTGAATATTCAAAACAATACAAAAAAGATTGAAATGTAGAGCACAAGAAGTTGTACCTGGTGGACTAGTTTTTATTACTGTTCCAGCTCGTCCAAATAAAACTCCTCATTCTAAAGTTATTTACAATATGTTAGCTGAAATATTGGGATCTTGTTTTCTCCACTTGGTCAAGCAGGTAAAAATCGTTACGTTTTTTTTTTTGAACTGTCAATTTATGGGAAGGTGTTTGACTTGTTACGGAATTTGTAGGGTGATATTGAGGAAGAGGAGGTGGATAGATTTAATATACCGGTGTATATTACATCTCCAATTGAAGTAGAAGAGGCAATTAACAGAAATGGAAGTTTTAGTATTGAAAAAACAGAGATACTTTCAAAGGAAACATCACCAATCAATGGTTTAACAGCTAAAGATGCATCAGTACACATAAGGGCTATAACTGAGGGATTGATTGAAGAAAAATTTGGAACAAAAATATTGGACAAATTGTTTCAACTTCATGAACAAAAAATTGAGGATGCATATCTTGACTTGATTTCTGGTGAAGCTATTAGTTTATTCATAGCTCTTAAACGCAAACCAAATTAAACCTCTATTTTAATTTGTTTTCTTGTTTTTTTGCTTTTGTATAAGTTGTACTTTTGGGTTTGTGAAATGTTGTTTCTAAGTATGTTCTATCAAAGTGTAATTGTGTGTTTATTTACTCTATTTTAGTTTCGCGATGAAATGTGTACTAATTCGTTTAGAACCTATTTTTATTGCTCAATCATGTTGAGAATCATCTCTCAAAGTATATTTATATTTTGAACAAAAATAATGATGAATGACGTTTGGAAATTTTAAATTAACAAAGATATGGCCTAAGGAAAATTGGAAATTCAGGATTTGATAGTTATACATGTTCAATTGAAATGAAAATTTTGATCCGTGTGAAGTCATGAGAAAATAATATTAGCAGTTGATGAGAATATTGTACGGTTGAGATGACATGTACTAAAAGTCACGAAGATCGATGACGTGGCTGTTATTAATGTTCCAAAATTTGAATATTTTTCGATATTGGCGGGGAACTAATAATACGTTTATATTCGCCTATTGATAAAGCATTCATTTTGTAGATAAATGGTTGACTTTTCATTCTTTGTATATTTGAAAATATCAATTTTTTTATTTATTTTACACAAAGATATATTACTTGCTCCACATTCTTTATGTGGTTCTCTTTGATTAGAGAGTAAGATTGGTACGAAATAAGGGGAATTAGAACTTTGATAAATTAAGTTGATTAAATTTAATTTTGATTAATTTATAACTACTATTTATGTTTTGATCAAAAAATGGATCTCCCAACACTCATAAATAGTATTATATTAGATCTTACTACCACTTACTTATCGAATTTAAGACACCAAACATAGTGAATTTTATGATGAAAAAACAAATTATCCAAATATATCAAAGATCAACTTCATCAACAAACATAACAAATAAAATACAAAGTAAATGGTCAAGCAAAATCAAGAGTTATTACGAACCATAAAGTCCAATCAATTAATATGTAGATAGCAAAACAGAAAATGCTCAATCGCACAAAATTAAGAAGATGTGAAACTGAATCTGTGAATTGTATTAATGCAAAATTAAACAAGCTACAACCACATCCCCTGCATGAACCATACTAATTACACCAGATTAGAACCCATTAACACCAGCAAAAAACCAAAACAACAATTTCTTGACAGCAAGACTTTTGCAGACTAAACAAAAGTCACATTCAACCTCCAAAACCATACAAAGTCCTTCCTTGTCTCTTGAGTGCATACACAACATCCATAGCAGTCACTGTCTTCCTCCTAGCATGCTCAGTGTAAGTAACAGAGTCACGAATCACATTCTCCAAAAAGATCTTCAAAACACCACGAGTCTCCTCATAGATCAGCCCACTAATACGCTTCACTCCTCCTCTACGAGCCAAACGCCGAATAGCAGGCTTAGTAATACCCTGGATGTTATCACGGAGCACCTTACGGTGACGCTTTGCTCCTCCCTTTCCCAATCCTTTTCCTCCCTTTCCACGACCCGACATTTTCAATCAACCTTGAGTGTATCTGAATCAATACAACAAATATAAACAATTTAGTAACCCAGATTAAATCACACAGTATTATTCGACACAAAAAAAAACACAGATTTAACAAAATTACTAATTCAAATCTAAAAATTAAATGTAAGCTTAAACTAAGAATTTGTTGAAAATTCGAACCTGAAATTGGAAGCTTGAAGGACTAATAACAAAGACAATGGAGATATGAGTTTTAATGGGGGAGTTTATTTATAGCTGGTGAAATGTTATTAATGGAGTTATCTTCGATCCGCGTGATTGGTAAAAGAAGCGATCGCTACCGTCAGATAAAACGAGATTAGACGGTCAAGATGAAGTGCCGTAAGATTGACAAGGATTGCCAGCATGGCATTATTTTTGTTTGAAATAAGGAGGGAAAAGATTAAAATCAATGAAGCAGCTGAGCGGGAGAATTGACTTGGGTTTTGGGCCGAATCTCGAATACTTATGGGCTCTATTTTCTAATTTTTATGTTTTGTGTTACTACTACTTATTTAAGGTTTACAAGGTATAATTATCTTCGGGTGATACCTTGAATCATCAAGTATATGAAAATTTTGATTTCGCTATTGTAAGATAGAGAATTAGCTTCCACTATTCATAACAGATAGTGAAGTTCGTAACTTTGTGGATTGTATACATCAGAGGACCCATACGCGTCCCGCTTTTAGTATTACTCTATGTAAAGAGAATTGTTCTGTTGATTCTAGCTAAAGCTATATACATGTGCTTCCATTTTCATTATGATCATGGGAATGACAAGGATTTGTCTGTTGTTGCATGGCATTGTAGATGGTTGAGACTGTGTTTGCTCATTTTGTATTTGTTAAGCATTAGGCTTTGATAGTAGACATGCTTTTTACCAGATAGTAGGTGTCTTTACAATATTGTTGAGAGCCATATTAGCTTAAAAGTCCTGTTTTCTTTGCCTCCTTTGTTAGTATTTGTTATTTTGAGGTAGTATGAACTACTATTAAGAACCTAGTTTTGTTTTCCTAGTGTTTGTGGATAAATGATGATTGAATATATCATTTTGAAGTAAGTTTGTGAACTGGTCTTTGCTCAACTCAAATTCAAACGCTAGCTCAAGAGACGAGGATTGTCTAAGATCATATATAAAGAGACAAATGATCAAAGCCCTAACCATTGTGGGACTCTTTTCTTGCCGTTTTGGGTTGAACATTTTGAGCATGAACGATATTAGATGAGGGTCCAATATAACGGAAAACCATGAACAATTTTCTCTTACAAATGGACATTGAATTTAACTGAATACCCTAAGGTAATAACTAGCTCAAGAGGCGAGAGTTGCTAAAGATAATATAATGAGAGAAATGATCCAAGTCCAAACGGATACAAGACTCAATCTCCGCTCTTTCAGGATTGGACATATGAAGCATGAACAATATTGATTAATAATGTCCAATATCAAGAAAATCATGAATCAACTAGTTCTTATACCATGATTAGAAAATGAACATTGAGTTTAACTATATCAGTACTAATGCTAACTCACAAGAAGAGGATGAGAAATTCCGAATTAGGACCCAATTTTCAAACTTAAAATTCATGACTCATGCACCACCAAACCAAGGCAGGGGCCAATAAAAGAAAAGTTGGATTATGATGAGTTTACAATTGAAAAAAAAATATATATACACTCAAAATGAGTCTATGTAACATATTTTATTAGATTATGTCTCTTAAAGTCTTAATAAAAATGGTCAGTGGGTAACCCACCGCCGTCCGACCAAAACATATCAACCAGCCTCCCTACTTGTAGGGGCCAATTTAACATTATAATTAGCCTTTCATTATGCAGTAACATGTAAAACCAAATGATTAGTGCAAAAGGGTTATATTTATAATTAAAAAATACTACTAGCATTACAGAGTTATTAAAGCCAAATGTGCTCTTTCGAGTTATTAAGATTACAATATAAACCATAGTCACCATCAACAATTAAATAGTAGTTTATTTATATCATTCATCCCTACAAGGTTAACTTTTCCTTGATGGTGGGGATAACTTTTTTAGGGCTTTTGTATTTTTAAATTGTTGGGAGTCTCTTGGTCTTGAAGAAACATAGACAATTTGTTTAGTCTGACCTACACTATGTCAAAAATGATTTTTAATGGTAATTAACACTCATTGTGAATACCCTTAAAGACCTCACTCTGATATCGTGTGGAAGTGAACTTTGAAGGTTAACTTAATTGGAAAAGCAATCACCTCATTATTTAGTTGGGCTCAAGCAAACATAAGCAATGTTGGATTAGATAAGTTTGAAGAAGCACTAAACTTTTGTTTGACAAATCACTATCAACTTCATTTGATCATTATAAACACATTTGAAGCATCCAAAGATGTGTAATTGACCTACACTAGTCAAGTCTAAATTTGGTTAATTTAGACATATATGTAGTGTAGTTGCCCATTGAGAATGCTTTATGTTGCCTCAATGAACTTGTCTGCCTCGAAAGTGATAGACAAATGTTAATTAGGCAATAAGCACCAAAGATGAATATTTTTTTTGATATCAATGAATAGTGCTATCCATTGAAGCAAGCAATTTTATTTGATTAGTTGTCAATCTTTTATGGCCACAACTAATTTTGAACACAAATATTGAGTGATAAATAGATTTTTTTGTTAGGCGAAAATAAAGAGAGCTTGATTAATATATATATATAAATTTGAATTTAACCAAAATACAATATTGTTTGGCATACATAGGTTTACAAGTTTCACCTACAAACTGAATCATGAGAAATTTGAATTGAATATTGTGTAAATTCACTTAGCATCACACTATAATTCTAATCTTATATAAGATGTTCGAATTAATTCAGATTCACATGTGTATGATCTATTATAAAAGATAACACTTTCTACCCTATTAAAAAGGACTTCCATCAAAATACTTTTCATAGTTTTCAACAAAAATATTTGTTAGAAATTCATTAGTTTTAAGTAGTAGTACTAGATAATGTTTTTCATCTATCGGACTCAAATATGAGATCTTTAGTAAAAAATCAACAGATTAATTGATCCGTTTATCGGACTCAAATAATGTGCATAATCCATTATAGGAGAAAGTACTTCCTACCCTCTTGAAAAGGAACTTCCAACAAAAATATACTTTTCATGATTTCTAACGGAAACATTCGTTGGAAATTTCATAATTTTAAGTAGTACTAACAATGTTTTTCTATTTATAGGACTTAAGTATAAGACTTCTAGTTAAGAATGAACAGATTTCATTCATTCATCTCGTCACACCCTTAGGTGGTATAGTTATTGTTGTAATTGGTCCACACTAATAAGTCTTCAATGGACCCGTGAAATATACAACTCTAAGACTTTCAAACAGAAGCTCCAAATAATAATGGACATTCTTTTTAATCATTACACAAATAAGCCAAATGTACATAACATAACCAACCTAATATCATTAATCCTAAAACAAATTCTTGATTAAACATCACTAATAAAACTAGGAAACAATAACTACC